TGCTGCTGCCTGCTGTGTTGTGCTGCTGCAATCAAACAGCTTCCAAAGCAAGAAACAACTGCTGCTGCTGCTGCTGCTGCCGCTGCTCTTGCTGCTAGTGCGGCTAAACTTGCTTGTCTTTGCTTGTCTTATTCCCTGGCGCGCTCCCCCTTGCGTCTGCCGGGGTCGGCGGATACGTTTCTCGATGCTGGTGCTGGCTACTGGCAGCTGCTGCTGCTGCTGTGGTGCTGCTGTTGTGCTGCTGCAATCAAACGGCTTCCAAAGCAAGAAACAGCATAAACAGCTACTGCTGCTGCTGCTGCTGCTGCTGCTGCTGCTGCTGCTGTGCCCACAAAGACACGGCCCTCCCGGACGGGGAAACACCATGGCCCTGAAGGACGAATGGAGTCCAAAATAGGCGTTTCCCGGGGCCGGAATGTCCCTTCTGAAATCTCCTAGATCTCCTAGAAAAAGCTTGCTACTTGCTATATACTACGCTGCCTGCTGCTGCCTGCTGCTCCCTGCTGCTGCCTGCTGCTGGTGCTGCTGCTGGTGGCTGCTGCTGCTGCTGCTGTGGTGCTACTGTTGTGCTGCTGCAATCAAACAGCTTCCAAAGCAAGAAACAGCTACTGCTGCTGCTGCTGCTGCTGTGCCCACAAAGACACGGCCCTCCCGGACGGGGAAACACCATGGCCCTGAAGGACGAATGGAGTCCAAAATAGGCGTTTCCCGGGGCCGGAACGTCCCTTCTGAAATCTCCTAGATCTCCTAGAAAAAGCTTGCTACTTGCTATATACTACGCTGCCTGCTGCTCCCTGCTGCTGCCTGCTGCTGGTGCTGCTGCTGGTGGCTGCTGCTGCTGCTGCTGCTGTGGTGCTACTGTTGTGCTGCTGCAATCAAACAGCTTCCAAAGCAAGAAACAGCATAAACAGCTACTGCTGCTGCTGCTGCTGTGCCCACAAAGACACGGCCCTCCCGGACGGGGAAACACCATGGCCCTGAAGGACGAATGGAGTCCAAAATAGGCGTTTCCCGGGGCCGGAACGTCCCTTCTGAAATCTCCTAGATCTCCTAGAAAAAGCTTGCTACTTGCTATACTTGCTATATATACTACGTTTCTCGATGTGCTGGCTACTGGGAGCTGCTGCTGCTGCTGCTGCTGCTGCTGCTGGTGCACCTGACTCTTCAAAAAGGCGGCTTCCGGCAAGGAAACCCCATGCTACTACTGAAGGACGACAGCGACTGCTGCTGCTGCTGCTGCTGCTGTGCCCACAAAGACGCGGCCCTCCAGGACGGGGAAACACCATGGCCCTGAAGGACGAACAGAGTCCAAAATATGCGTGTCCCGGGGCCGGAACGTCCCTTCTGAAATCTCCTAGATCTCCTAGAAAAAGCTTGCTATAAAGCTTGCTATATAAAGCTTGCTATATAAAGCTTGCTATAAAGCTTGCTATACTACGTTTCTCGATGCTGGCTACTGGGAGCTGCTGCTGCTGTTGCTGCTGCTGCTGCTGGTGCACCTGACTCTTCAAAAAGGCGGCTTCCGGCAAGGAAACCCCATGCTACTACTGAAGAGCGACAAAGACACGGCCCTCCAGGACGGGGAAACACCATGGCCCTGAAGAACGACCAGAGTCCAAAATAGGCGTTTCCCGGGGCCGGAACGTCCCTTCTGAAATCTCCTACAAAAAGCTTGCTATACGTTTTTTTCTCGAGGCTGGCTGCTGGCTCGCTGCTAGCTGCTGCACTGCTGCCGTTGCGCTACTGCTGCGTCTGCTTGTAGTAGTAGTAGTAGTAGTAGTAGTAGTAGTAGTAGTAGGAGTAGGAGTAGGAGTAGGAGTAGGAGTAGGAGTAGGAGTAGGAGTAGGAGTAGGAGTAGGAGTATAGGAGTCGTAGTAATGCAATACATCTTTTTCCCTTACGCGCTCCCCCTTGCGTCGGCCGGGGTCGGCGGATATATATGCATGTATGATATTTTATGGATATAATGATATATGGGTATATGGATGTATGGATATATTGAAATGGATATGCATATGGATGCAATTGTATATATATTTATATAATACATTCATATATATATATACATACACAGTATACTGTACATAGTCATAGTGCTTTCAGGGATGTTGGATCCACCCACAGTGCAATGTGCGGCAATGCCCTGAAGTTGAGCCACGCAGCTTCCCATGGGGAAGCAGCGTGCAAAGCACCTCAAGCGTAGCTGCTTTTGCTCGCTGCTTTGATCCTTTCAGCGTTTCCAACTTGTGATGTGCCGGTGAAGTTGATGCCATCGGGCAACCCACAGGCTCCCAGCCTGTTTGGAACAGTGGCTTGGAGCAAAGGGAAGAAATTCCGTTGCACAGGGCTCTTCGCTTCAAGGCTTAAGACACTTTTGCATTGAGATCTGGAAGAACTTCAGTCAGTCAAACCTTTTCATCGCAAAAAACACTTTCTATGTCTCCTTGAACCTTTTATAATTTTCATTATTTTTACCCATACATATTGGGCTACAGGATGGCCATGGGTCAAAGATGTCAAAGTTGTTAGACACGTGCCATTGTTCCCATGGTATCTGGTTCAGCTGTGAAGGAAAAACCTCTGTTGCCACATTCGACCTCTCAACGCCAGGTCTTTGGACGGGCGATCGTTGGGTGTCCTTTGTCTGTAGCTGCCTCAATTTCATGCAGTGCAAGTTTATAGCAGCAGACACCAATGCCAAATGCCTAAAAATAATTGAACAATATTGACATGTTTACTCCAGGCACTCATTCGCTGTGAGTTTTGCGATGCTGCCTCGTTCAAGCCTCCTTCTTAGCGCTTTGTTGTATCAAATCTCTTTTGGAAGGGAGAGTTTCAAGAAAATAATCGCCCCAATGGCCCCAAAGGCCCCCATGGCCCCAATTCAGTCTGTCATTCCAGCCGAGAGAGCTCAAAATGTTCAAAGGATGCAGGATGGATACCTTCCATGGACTCAGGCTGAAATGGCTAACGCAGGCTCGACCTTGCAAAACAATGTGGAAGTTTGGGCTTCATACAGCTGAGGACAAGAGAGGAAATACGAACCAAGTTGTTTGCAAAAGAAGGACGTACATTTGTTCTGGTTTCAGCACTTGGAGTGGAGAGACGATTTTTTCCATGAATTTTCCATATTTTTCATGAGTGGTCCTGTTGGCTGTCAGGTAGCAGCCGGAGCCGCTGGCAGTGTGCAAATTGGCCTTGGAAATATTCTATGGGTTCCGCAGGCCTGGCAGTCACGTCCTGATGACTGAGCACAAGTTGGTGGCTGCCGAACCCCTTGATACTCGTAGAGATCGTCAATTCCCATCCATTTTTCTGAACCATTACTTCTAAGTTTTTGAATCCAGCAGCTTTTTGTGTATGTCAAATTCTCTGAAATAACGCAACAGCAAAAAAAATGCTTTCAGGCTGCCAAAGGCAGAACATTGAGTTTGGAGGCAGAGCCAGATCCGAGCATAGTGGTTACATCGTGCATAGCCCAGGCAAACGCGTTTTTTGTTTAACCCGCTGATCTGTTCAGATTCTTTCAAACAGAAAGGGCCTGAAAATCACCCAGGCGCTCCAAAGCAGCTCAGAGGGTTGGCATCGTGGAAGAGGCCAAGTGCATCCAAGTGCCCTGTTCGATCTTATCACATTATTATATCATACTAAACTTTAAGCCACCATGGCAGGATTTTCTGTGCATCTCACATGGTCTCGGTCTTTTGTGCTTCCGACCATTTGTGATGGCAGCCCACACCTTGGCAAACTTTCTGTTCAAAGATGAACATTCAAAGAGCACAGGGCAATCGAAATCATAGAAACTCTCAATGCATTTGTACACTAGACACAAGCACCTAATATCAAAGACACCATCTGATCATCCTACTTGTAGAGTCATCCCCAGTGTCATTACACTAGGTTGCACATCGATAGGGTCGTTACATCATGGTGTAATTATACATCTTCAAACATCTTCAAACTATGACTACAGCAAGCCTATGCAAGATAGATGCAATATAGATGCAAGATAGTAGATCGAGATGCACGTCGCCGTCGAACATGCCTGTCCTTGGCCCGGTCCGTTGTGATGATGGACTTTCAGGTCTGAGATGTCGCATGATTCGCATGGCTGGAGTCGCTCCTGGCAAGTTGCTTTCAATGTGCTAGAATACAAAGCACGAAGTGGCATCATACACAACTATATATATAAGATTATATATATATATGTATACAAAAGCACGTGGAAGTTTCAGTGCATGTCCATTCTTACATTTACATAGATTTACACTCATCACCTTTCAGAGTAAAGTTACTCATAGGTTCATGAGCTTGCGAAGGAGGCAAAGGAGCTTACGTCATCGCTACCATATTCTGCTCTCCAAAGTCGCAAGCAGGACGCTAACCATTGCAAGGGTATACGTGCCCCTTTTCTGCTCAGAATGTTCCGCCACGTCCATTTGCGTCCATTTGCCAACATGGCAAAAGTGCTGGTGCCAGGATAAGCTGCAGAAGCTTTGGGTTCCTGGACTGTCACCAAAGACGCCCGAAACCTCCACCACCAATGCCTCACCTGGATCCATCAGTGATTTCGACAGCATTTTATCACGAAAGCTAGCGGTAGCTAGCTGGAGTTACTCTTGCTTCAGCAAGGGGAGGGGCAGGCCTGAGTCCTACACAGTGATTTTTCACTCGAACCCCACCCCTCCCCCCCAAGCTTCCGGGGCGTTTTGAAGCGGTGTTGGAAGCAGATGGGCTCAAATCCTGCCAGGTCTCTAAGCAATCTGCATTCAGCATATTAGAATCCTACAAAATCCCATCAGTTTCCAGGCTCATATTCACCTAGTTCATCCTAGTTCTGTACATTCTTCTTGTGTTTTGATTCGACCTGAAGAATCTGTGTGACTCGAGCAGCCTTCCCTGCCCAAGTCATGGCCCCTTTGAGATTCCAAGGTGACCTGAGTGGTGTAGAGGGATCCCCGGAATCAGTTCCAGATGTCTCCGGCTCCGACACAGTCAAGATGCTCAATTCGGAAAGAAAGTTGCTATTCTTCCAGCCAGGTGGGGAACGGCGGACCATAGACGGGAAGAATGCGAGTAGGGGGCAGGTTTCCGTGAAGCATGAAGTGTTGTTCAGTGCTGGCATTTGAGAAGCAAATCGCCAGTTTTTGGAGGATACGGTGGGTGCTTTGATAGGTTTCACTGGGCGTGCTAGTCCACGACACGATTCGAGCACAGGAACAGGTGCTTTTCTCCCGAAGGATGCTGCAAGTGAAGGCAACTTGCAGCAGGACTGCAAACGGCAAAGGGCAGGCGCTTGAGTGGTTATCCTGAAGACTCGATGATGCTTCAGAGAGAAACATGAGCGGATTTTCCAGCAGTTTCAGTCTTTATAGTCTTTCGCTGGTATCAAAAGCTGGAACGTGTCTGTGTGTGTGCACGCTGATGAGCGTGGGCGCAGCTCCAGGGAAGTGCTTATTAGCAACGATTTCAGAAAGATGATGCCTACCTATACTACAAGTAGCCTGTATCAGCCGTCAAACGCCAAGCAAGGCAGTGATGATTTTCCGTGTAGTTTGCCCCTTTGCAGGAGCTGAGAGATGTTGCAATGCCATCTCGATGGAAGCTGTGCGTGGATGCAAAAGGGTCATGGCCTTGCTTGAGACTGATTGAGACTGCCTCATGACAAACAGATTTGCTTCTTCTGAGGCGGGCCTTCTATTTCAATGCTTCGCCAGATGCCCCAGCAAAGCAAGCTTTCATGGAAAGCAACGATTCTATTTTGGAGTGCTTCCAGCACGCCGGTTCCTAGAGTCAGACTCTCTTTCATTCTTTTCCTATTCCTCACATCACTCGATGCCGCCTGGGGTAACGTGAAAAAGTAGGCGGCCCGCTGCAGGCGTGGAGTGAGCTCATGGAGCCATCCAAGAGAGGTGGGGACACTCTGAGTTCGTGCTGTGGCAAGTAGAAAGGTGTTTCAAGGGGACTCAGTGACTCAGGGGTTCAAAATATTGAATTGCAAAATGTAGTCAATGTAGTTCGAGGTCTGATCGACATTGGGTTTACTATGTTTTACAATTGTGGCAGATCTTGAAGTTGGAGGTGACTGGTAGGATCCGGATGTCTCAGCGTTTCAGGCTTTGCACCAAGAGCTTCGAGATTTCGTCGATGCCTTCCGAAGGGATGGTGAGGCCGAGGCAGTGCACATTTATATACATTTATATTTATACTGAACATGTTGGAATACGCCGGAATTCCATGAAATTCTGATGCGGTGACGTGTTCTTTTTCTCTTTCCTCCTTTCAGTTTGGGACTTTGAGCACGTGCGACAGACGTTGCCGCGTGGTGAGGCAATGGACTCAGTTGATCAACGTGCCAAAACTGCGCGCTGCTTCCTGGAAGAGCTGAATGCCAAAGCTCGCAGGCTGAGCGAGTCTGAAGCAGCTAGAGCGCAAAGCCAAGTAATACCAAGTATATAGAAGGGAAAGAATGGGACAGATCAGAGACTCAACATGACTCCATGACTCTGACATGACTATGAAATGAAGGATATGAAAGCAGCTGGGTGTTCTTTAGGTTGACATTTTCATACATTTTCTAGCTTCCTTGTCCTTGCAAACTGCCAGGGATTTGTCCAGCTGGCGTGGTCCATTCCTCTCCAAAGAGGTCAGTTTTACTGCTCGCCGCTGGCATTGTCCATTTGGATTCACTTTGCAACCGGCGCAGGGAAGGTTTCCGTACTGGTTCAGTGACGAACAGCAATCCAGCTCCTGGTCCGTTGCTTGGAAATGATGGTTGACCCATTTATCACACGGCAAAATTCCTGGGGCATTGGATTCTGAGGACTGATCCAGCTGCTGATTGGGAGGAGCAACTGGCATTTGCCAGCAGGCGCCAACAAGTTCTCCGTGCGATTCAGACAGGCATATGTTTGCATTTTATCATTGATTGATCAATTTCTATCAATTTAAGTATGGAGTTTGATTTAATTTATACATATTTATACAGTATCAATTATGTACCATTTATTGTCAAACATCGAAGCAAAGTGGATACTCTCAGGATGAGTGTCAGTGTGGATTCCACCCAGGACTCTTTGCCATGAGCTCAACTTGGAAGCCTCCGAATTGGTACCCAGGTCCGCATGGTCCGCCTGCCTCACCGGACACCAACCTTGGACATCGATTTTGGCATTTGCTAGCTGCAGGTCCACAAAAGTATCCAACAGCTTCCGGGTGGCTGCCAAAGGAGTGGTTGCGGCCCAATCTTTCAGGCAGACTCCTCTTTCTTAGTCTTTAGTTCGAGGAAGGTGGTTTCAAGTGGCGATGTGAATGTGGAATCTGCATTGGCAGGCGGATGAGCGAACATCACAGAAGCTACTCCATGGACAAGGCAGTCTCGGTGAAGCGGAAGCGACAGAAAGGTTTCAGTGAGGCAGTGAGGAAGAATGTTTCAGGACAAGTTCTGCTGGTCCCCGGAGCTTATCTGCTTGACAGGCGGTACCACTCAGGACCATTGAGCAGATTGATCTCGATATGTCGCCAGCTCATCTGTTCCCTGACACAGCTTCATCATGACCCTGACCCACACCTATTGTGATCATTATGGCATTGGTGGTCATCACTGAGACCTCGAACAGCTAGTGGAGAAGCTGAACTCCTCTCCTGCCTTGGTGTTGCAAGGGCATTGCTGTTAAGGCAGAGCCTGTTGGTTCTGCTGTATTTTGATGTTAATCCCCAACCCTTCCAGCAACTCTGGTTGTGTCAGGCTTGTTCCCCTCATATTGGATTGAGAGCATGATTTTGCTGCCTCATAATCGATATAACTTGCATGATGATGTTGAGCCACACTCACTAACTTTTGCGGCAAAGCGCTGCGACAGGCATGCAGCTGAGGACGCTCTGTCTTGCACAGAAAGTTTCATTTGTTTTTTGCATGATGTTCGGAGGCAATCATTCCCTGATGGAAGGACCCAGAGCTTGGATATTGTCAAGGAATGAACATGGTTGTCAGAAGCTAAAGTCTGACGCTCCCTCAAGAGGTCTGCTTATTTTTCTCCTCACAAGCGTCTCTTAGGCAGCCCTCTTTGCAGTTGCAGCCCAAAGTCAAGAAGAGGCACACGTTGCATCCAGCTGCCTTGCATTCGTGTTTCACATAGAATCTGAGTTTATTTGAGTTTCATATTTCTGTTATTTTCTGTTTGGAAATGCTTCCCTTCCAATTCCCAGATGTTTCTATAGCAGGCCTTCAGCCGATTTCGAGCTTTTACGCGAAGTCTGCGTGGGCTTTGGGAGCCAGGTGGGCATTGAGAGTATTTTTCCCCACCAGGTGAGGGTCTCTAGATTTTATCAGAATTGCTTCCTCCTCCTTCCCTCCCTCCTTCCATCCTTCCTTCCTTCCGTCCTTCCTTCCGGACCTCAACTGCAAGCTCCAGATTTCAGTGGGCACTGCCAGGCCTCAGCATGGCAGTGCCCACTGAGATCTGGCGCGCGCGGTTGAGGTCCAGCAGTGCCCATGTCAGATATGTCAGAGGGAATGTCGGAATAAATGCCAGATAGAATGCCAGAAAGAATGTCAGAGTATATGCCAGAGAGAATGTCAGATAGAATGTCAGAATGTATGTACATATATATATATTTATTTATATTTATGTATTTTTATATTTATATACATCCAATAATATATACTTCCAGATGGTATGTCAGAAACTATGTCAGAATAATGTTTCAGGGGATCGCTCGAAGAAAGTAATCTTATATAAACATATATTTTCCTTTGCCCAGAGGAGCATCCAGCCGTGCCGCGCTCTGTTTGCCGTCCAGGTTTTCCCTTGCTGCAGCAGGGTGTTTGCTTGTTTGAAGCCTTAGCTGCAGAGCGGCCATGGTTTCAGCATTTGAACAGGACCCATGGGCCATTGCAAGCCAACTTAGTGAAAGGTCCTGTCCAATGATTTCCCTCCACATCCCTCCGCCATCATCAAACAAACCAGAATCAGACGCAACAATTTTTTTTCCATGCATGCCTCTAGTTGTCACCCAGGAGCACCCAGGATGCTGGATAGATGATAGACTGCTATACATTCATCATCGATGGAATCTCATAGGCCATGGCTGTGGATTTCCAGTCTCCGCAGGAACGGCGTAGAAGCTGAGATGTACCTGCCACGAGCGTGGCTGGGACTTTTTACCTCCTGGCTGCCTTTGGCCACCAGAGCCTCTCGGATTCAGCTGGAGTGGGCTGATGGACTGTCTTGGTTTGTCCTCACGACGGTCTCAAAAGCATTAACATTTATATAATAAAAAGGGAAATTTATTCAGAACATCAGAATCCTGCCAGTTGGACCGGTTTTCCTCTGGAGAATGCAAATGGTTTGGCCACGTTTCATGACCACCTTGATAGCTTGCAGTTTGTCACCCCGTCCTTGGCAAAGGTCCTTTTGTTGCGGAGCTTGGAGGAGGGAAGTCTTGCCATGCTTCTGGCAACTAGCCTTGCGATTATGGACCACGTCGGGTCTGCGCCTTAGAAAACATGAGCCTTTCGCAAAGTGATGACTCGTGAAATGATAACTGTGCCCTTTTTAAGCGTAGATAGAATGAGTTGTCTACCCTTTGTGATCACATGTAATGCCAGGAGTGAACTCCTGGAGCAAGGGGACGATATGGACGACTTGCTGAAAGTACTGGATGGCATCAAAGACAAACCGCTGCTGGACTCAAACCATGGAGGGCTTGGTCTTCAGCTAGAGGGTACTCAGAGATTTGTTGCACAGACTGCAAGGGAGTCTCAGTTTGACCAGTGACTTTCCTTGGAAACAACTGTCAGCCAGTTAAACAGCTTGGCACTCCTCCTTGAGTGAAGGCATCTTTGCTTTAATTTTCCCTTTATCAGCAACCTTTTTTTGGCCAAAGCGCGTATCTTGACCTGTGCAGTCCATGGAAACCATGAATGAGTCCTGCAAACAGCCCCACACCAGTCCCTTAGGCCACACCCTGCTGCTCTCATTACAGCCCGGGATGCATGGTTGCCCGTGGTATCCGCAACCACAGCAAGAAGGTCTCAAAGCTGCAGTAGAGCGTCCCGTGGGAAAGGGAAGTTTCAAGATGTTGACGGCTCATATTGGTTTGTCATGGGTTTGTCCCAACATGGGCACATATACCCCAAAACCAGTGGTTAAGTCATATTCCCGAGATTTCCAATTCATCACATTGCCATGTTATGTCGTATTCCATGGTATTCCCATGTATTTCCCATGTAGGAGTCGTTCTAAAGGTCCATGTAAGGATTTTAAATTGCCAAGCATGAGACTCCTTGAAAGTTTTTTTTTTTTTTTTAATGAGTTCGCGATTTTTTTTTTTTGCGAAAGATTTAGCGAAAGATTTCACCATGAGACCCCCGTGAAAGATAAACGTAGGGTTCGCGAAAGATTCGCACAAGTCATTTTTTATTCGCGAAGAATGACCGGTTGCAAAGGAAATTAGAACAACCGCCATGTGGGTATGGGTCAAAATTAGGTAGCCCAATAATTGGATGGTTAATACTAGTCACTAGACATTCACATCTGTGGTCCCCTAGGTCTTCCATTTTGACCCACATCCAGCAGGTCCGGGGCACACTGGTGCTGGAAAGCACTGCGCCGTGACGGCTCCCGCGTCTTGGATCATCGCGGAGAGGACTGGGAGTGAAAGCCACGGTCCACTGGACAATCTCATCATTTCATCATCATTTCATCATCTTTCCCATACAATTGAGCACTAATTATTGAGAAATTTGAGAATCTATTCAGCATTATGAGTGCTAAATGATGCCACTGGAACCACTGATTCGGAGTAAGCGGAGTAAGCGACTAGTTGGCGACGGTTTTTCTATGTTAAGGAGTCCACGGAGTGCACGGAGTGCCAGGTTTCTGACGGTTTCTTATGGTTTCTTCTCACGCTCCCGTGGAAGGCTTTGTTCACCCACAAAGAGCGCCGAGCCAGTCTCGCAACTGCAGGCTGCGGACTATTTGGTGTTTCAACATGTTTCAACATTTCCATGTTTTAAATATCTTCTGCAGATTCTAGTTGACTCACTTATTGGTATGTGATGTCAGATATCCTGATTCTTGATACTGTAGCCACAGCGAATAAGATATACGTACAATCAAGGGCTTATGTTCCTCTCACAGGGCCTGAATTCTTATCAAATGACCTCCAGTACTACTCAGTGTACTTGGTACTCACATGCTGAGGATACTGGGGTCCAGCAGTCCTGGAATCTTATGAAGAGCATCGAGTATAAACTTTATTTTGTTCCGCTGGACTTAGTTTCTATTACTCAAGTTGTATCCCAGTTGCAACATCCTAGAGAAAGCTCTTGACGTGGCTTCCTGTCTAGTTGAAAGACTAAAACTTGGAGCGAAAGAGACTATCTAGATCTTTACAGCCTCGCTCATCTATGCAGCAGCACGCAACAAAATCGCTGAACCGGAAGGCAGAGCGCTGTTGAAATTCTGCTTTGGAGACGGCAGACACTGAGCCTGACATCCTGCAATTCTTCCAGCATAAAGTTATAATATGTCATGTTGTAATAAAGTTTCACAGAATGAGCACCTTGCAGATCAAGCGCTACCTGGGAATACTAGTTGGATAGCGCTGCCTCTGCAACAGCCTTCAATATCGTATTTCCATGTGTTTCCTGCTCACAGCCAGCCGGCAGAAAGACAAAATGTCTTTGAAGCCAGGCAAAATGAGCTGTACATAGATTGCTGACTGCAAATTTAGTCCGGACTTGCTGTAACCGTTCCTTAGATTGTGAGCTACGAGGACATGCTGTAACAAGCAGTTGCTGAGGACAAAAACACACTTGACATGATCTCTGGAAACCTGCTTGTCGATTGTGGTTTGGCCCAGTATGGAGGGAAACATCATGGAGGTTCTTAAAATGGGGGTACCTACCTTCAAAATGGATGGTTGTTTACAATGGAAAATCCTATGGTGCGGTGTGCCCATTTTTTTTTTGAAACCTCCACCCCAGTAATGTTTTTGACCTGTGGCAGGTTCCACCAGGCTGGCCTGACTCAAGAGTCAAGGCTTTTGGACCGCGAGATCCGTCGAAAATTCGCGTGGCCGGGTTCACAGAAATAGTTTGGCAGAAAACAAGGTGAAACAACCGCCGAAACATGAATGCTACCTCTTCAGTTGAAGCTTCCTTTCAACTTTTGGCAAGTCTTGCAAGGTCAGCTTCAACATTCTTGCTGTGCCCTATGCAAGAACGCAACTGGCCACGCAGATCATGTGCCCTGAGGACAACTCCAGCAATGCACATCCAAACATGTGTGTTTTGAGAGAAATGGCAAAAGGCCCGACATCGGAAATGTCCCAAAGATGGCCATACAAAATACTGTACATGATAATGTTTTAGAAGCTGCCACTGGAAATATCCTTGAGGACTGTTTTCAAAACATGCGGCCAACATGAGGTCGCAGGGAGTGCGTTGGCATTGCACGCAAGACTTTGGTCACTGCTAGTTGTCCAACTGTTGAGTTTGATATGTTTGGCCAACTGTCGAGTCCTCTCCAGGTACCCATACTGCCCACCACCAGTTCTTGACTACGCTTATCGACAACCTCTCATAGGCAAGGCATTCCTCAAGTGTCACACAGTGTGGTCGTGGCAGCGCAATGTCAGGTCGAGAAGTTCACAGACTGGATGGTGACATAGTCCTCCTACAGGAGACTGGCTGATGCATTTTGCTCCTGCGGATGATTCTAAAATCTGTCATTAAGATGAACATAGATGAACAACTAAGCAAATATAGTCCATAGATCTGGTCGCAAGAGTGATTCAAATGATTCCTGACACTTGTGAACCTGGCATTTGAAGAAGTAGAGGGGCAAACGCGTCTATGCGATTGCCAGGAATGTACCTACTTTACATACCTGAAATTCTTTCAACCGCTCTTTGGAGAGCAGTGCCCCCGTCTCTTGATACCTGGAGTTGTGGGTCTTCATCACTTTCCACTTGTAGAAGCAAAGCTGGGTAAGTTTCTCTGCTCGCGAGGTACCACATCCGCTGCTCGCTGAAAGCAAGCCATGTCTCCGAGGGATGTTTGATGATGGTTCGGAAGGAATCCTTTGAGGCGCGGTTCTGGGTCATGAATAGTCATTAATGATCATTATGTTAATCATTAATGATCATGAGCATCGGATCAAACCACGGAGTCCAAATGAAGCTCTGGGACCCTGGGAGACTGCTTGTGCTGCAGCCTGTGACAAGAGAGCCAGTGCTCAACCCTTGAAATAGACAGGCAACAAACGTAGATGCCAGGGCAAAACACGCATCAAACGCTTGAGCACAAGTAGTCAGAGTGATAATCCGTGGCTGGTCATCCAAAGCAGGGTGTCACATGCATATAAAGCTACAACATTCCACAGCATCATCAGCTGGAATGCTTCAGGTACATTGTTTATTTCATGGCTAGTTCGATGAACAGAGCACTGCAACCAATCAAATCCAAGCCAGCTCAAATCCAAGCCAGCTCAAATCCAAGCCAGCTCAGCATGAGATCTGTTGGAAAGGTTCGGAGTTCAGATAGTTCAGATAGTTCAGACCATGCTGTGGCCACGGCTGCCATGGCTAGCAGTGACAGCTGTCATAGCTGTGACGGTCGTGACAGCCGAAGAGCTGGATTTCTCCTGCAAGGAGCACGAGGTCGAGCTTTGGGAAGATGTCAGGTTGCAGCTGGAAAAGCTAATGCCGCGCTTCGCTGGCCGATTGAGCTTCGCACCTTGGAAGTGTATGGGTTGGTCGATTGGTTGGTCCATGTTGGTCGTGGTCGTCCATGTTTCAAGGAGGTTGAACTCAGGCGCTGAAGGATCTAAAGGCGTCGTTATGCGGGGATTGGGAGCGAGGTGATTTTGCTATCTCAATGCGGGAAGACTCTGGATCCAACATGGTTGAATGTGGTTTAACCATGTTTAACCTTCAGAGTTTGGCTGTTACATAGTGATGCCTTGCCTCTTGAGGTTCACATTGCGGAAGATCTCCCGATGGTGAATAGAATTCATCAAAATGTTGTCCGAAAGTTGGAGATTCCTGGACCCTTGCTACAAGCGCAGGTGCGGGGAAAGGAGATGAAAGGACTGAGTCGGACTGAGGCTTTTGCAACCAATTGGATCAAAAGCCTTTGGTTGTCAAATTGACGCGTGGCCATGTGTGGCCTTTTCTTTTGTAGCACAAGAAACTCGAGTTTCAAAAGAGATTTATTATATAAGGCATAATCAACATGTATCGTGGGAATCAGTTTTCCAGTTTACCTATGTTTACCATTGTTTACCATTGTTTACCTAACTTTTTTTTTGTCCCCCAGGTGCCTCTGCCTTGGAGAGAGGAGGAGCCATGGAGCTTTTGCCTCACAGGTCTAGTTAGCGCCAAAGTGCTTTTTGTGATGTTTCTTGGTTGCATAAGCTACCCTGTTCGAGCGAGTATCTGAGTATTTTATTTTTGGTCTCACACGTTGGCTTGCAATGCAAGTTTCCAGTGAAACAGGAATTCGGCTGTAGTCGTGCACGTTCCAGTGCACTAAGGATGGGAATGACAGGTCAATTTGAATATGCAGTGGACTTGAGCGCAGCTCTTGTCACATCAGTTATGCCAGCACCCTGGTTGGAGATCCTCCAAAGTGGTTGGCCGATTTTTCCGCTGTTGGCGATTTTGTCCAAATGGGCTTCGCCGCACATGGACTTCGCAGGTGCTGCCTTTTCCGGCCCTCATGGCCGTTCAGCAGCTCGAGCTGTGACGGGATTAGTCTCTACTTGCGACCAGGCAGAGTTTGGTGCCATGCAACGTGCGCGAAAAGTTCTTGGTGTCCACTGGCGAAATCTGGATCCTACGGTCCAAAGTCCAGACCTGGATCACATTGAGGTGTCCCTCGCGGAACTGCAGGGGAGCTCCAGAGAAAGATTTGCCAACGGCACTAACGGCACTAACGGCACTTACGAATGTTACTGGACACATCATCCAAACCGGACCTTGGGAGGTGAGATCGATGAGATTCCTGGGAATGCGCTGGGAGCTTGTGCGACAGTTGAAACCTGTGCTGGGATCCTTCAGAACAGCCTGCGAATTGGCCAGCCCTTTCTGCAGGAGTCAGTAGGTGAAGTGTCTGAAGTGCGTTGGTGCACTCCACACATCAGTCCCAGTCGCACCAATCCCAACGCGAGCGACAGCACTTTGCTTTGCCCCTTTGCACGGGTTGTTGGCCTCCTTGGCTCCGCCTTTCGTTTGCTGAGCAACTTGGTTTGTGAAATCATGCGCATCATGAGCCTTTAACACACGAAAGACGGAACTTCTTTGTATTCGTTGTTGACATCATTCAATGACAGCATTGTGAGGGACCTAGGGAAGAACTTCGTGAAGGAAGTCGAGTTTGTTTTCCAAGATGAGGCAACAGCACTAGCATGGAGAACTTTTCCCCTGAGTTGGTCAAGCAGGCTAACGCAGAGGCCTGCGGATGGCTAGGGGCCAGCCTGACATACAAAAATAGTGGAGATTATACAGCGGGGTCACAAGCCACAAGTACAGTACCGTACGTGAAGAAAATGGCATAACATCACACTGCGTCTCAAATCCTTAAACTTAAGACACACTGCTTTTCACAAAAGGCAAAACTGTCATTAAGAAGTCTTTGTATCAAGATGTCCTGAATTATGCACAGAAGCTTGGCTTCCCTCGAATACTTCACAGACCTGGCCCTACCACAGTTTTCCGCGAGTTTCCGCGAATTAAGATGGCTTGGTGATTTCTGCTCTACTAATTCTTACCAAAGGGACACGAAACACTAGAGATGGTTTTGAGTGTTTTCGATCTGGATCAAGAAGGCGGGTCCTAAATCGGCGGCATGTCAGTTTCAAAGTTCATGTGAGTAAACGACATATTATATAATATACATATATAATCATATATATATTATATATGTATGTATGTATGTATGTATATATATATATGTATGTGTATGTATATATATATTATGTATATATATATATTATATGTATATATATATATATATTATATATATACAATGAACAGTGTATTGTTCCCTGGCCTTGGGGCGGGCGCAAACGGTACCCATCCCAGTATTCTCAAGTTATGGAAAAGAGGACAAAACACTTGCAGCCAAGAAGTAGGGGATACCGGGACGGGATGCCTATTTGATCCTTGCATTTACTTACAACAAACACAGCCAAAGTACAGTAATTTTCTTGCCATGCCTGTGACTCGCATTGCAACTTTCTTTGGGAGGTGGCGGCCTTTGCTTCGGGTTTTGACCCTGGCGATGCCCATGCTGCAGGCAGAGAGGCAGGGCCAGGGTACGGCAGCTAGACTTGACTGGTGGCCCACTGGTGACCCATCCTTTTGAGGCCTGGGCGACACAATGGCCCTTGTGGCAGGTTCTTGGGCGCCTCCAACAACGGATGGACCGTGGGATGTCATGATGACGGATATTTCCTGACCAGAGTTTGGAGGATTTTGCATATTTTTTGGCCATGTTCAGAATTTGAGAAAAGGTGAGCATGAAAATAGTGGCTGAAGTTTCTTCCACCAGAACCAGGGTTCCGCATCAATGTCCCCCGCAGCAGGTTTCAGCAGACTCCCAAAAGACCTATTACTGACAGAAATATGCAACAGCAACAGCATCTAGACCTAGGCTCGTCCACACAACATCGCACTACCATGCACTACCAAGTTGTAGATCCTGAGATATCGATATCCTATCTCATAAGGGCTTGTTTGGAAGTGATCCGGACAACTTCCAAATCCGTTGGTTAAGTATCACTTCCCTATTCAGATTGCCATTTTGTGAGGGTATATCGGGGACACCACTATGGTATACCCCATCAGGCGTTCTTACCTTAATCAAATCCACTTGCTGCATCTTGCTGCATCTTGCCACCTGCCGCAGGACTTTTTGCGGGATCCAATTGCCAGTTCAGCAGGCTCGAGTGCACAGCGGTGACCCACTTGTTGCCACACCCCGTGGTCGCCTGCGGGCTCGCAATGGTCGAGCCAGGCACAAAGGTTCTGTCTTCTCTGCAACGTGCCATGGGCTTCGATGATGAGGACTGACTTTCCACTCCTCAACATCTGAAAATTGGACATGCCAAGTCGATGGTTGTATTTTTAAAATATGTTTTCATTTGTTTATTGTGATATATGGTGCACACACATATATATAATTATATATATAATAAAATATAATATAACTATAATTATAATTATAATATAATATAATATGATATAATATAATATAATATAATATAATATAATAATATAATAATAATAATCATAATAATCATAATAATAATAATCATAATAATCATAATAATAATAATATATATATAATAATATATATAATAATATATATATATATAATAATATATATATGTAATATAATAAATAATATAATATATAATATATAATACATAATATATAATATAATATAATATAATATAGTATAATATAATATAATATAATATAAATATAAAAATAAATATATAAATAAATAAATATATATATATATAATCCCCAGGGCTTATCTATTGTATAGTGGAGGTGGTGTGGATGGTGTGGACCTTTTGCATTATACATTCGTTGGCCGTTGGCCTCTGAATTGCGTCCAATTTCAAACATGTTGCACATATTGTGTGCAGGGTCAGAAAGGATGTGCGTTAGCGAGTAATATCCTTGCAAATCCCTGCTGTCGAATCTAGGTTGGGTCCATCTGGGTCCATTTGGGTTCAAGAGATTGTTCCAGGTAGGATTTCTAGGGCCGACAATGAAGATAGGATGAGATTGGGCTCAACCCCAACATTCCATGCCTTCCAGCGCAATTGTCCGGAAAATGCCACCTGATGGCATGTCACATGCACACAATATAGACGGTTCATGATTCAGTTCATGATCAACCATGGTCACAATGACAGAAGGAAGGAATAATAATTTAGTCCTTGGATTTCGGAACATGTCTCCTCATGGCAGCGCGCAGAGCGGATGACGCATGAGCCGGCGGCCGCGTCGCTGAAGCTAGGCTTGGCGCTGAGTGATGCCGAATGATGCCGATGTATGTGTGGGTAGCATCGGGTAGCATACACATTTTGATATATATATAATTAGAAAGAGAGATACATATGCCTGTTCCAACATAGGGGTGCTGAGCCTAGCAGCTTCCTGCACTATGCCGGGGTCAGGATGAACTCAGTTACATGCTTTGGGAATAGGGGAGACAATCGAAGAGACTTCCGGTGGATGGCACAATCGTGAATTTTGAAAGTTTTAGATATTTTTACCAGAACTGCTGCTTGGATTGTTCCGGGTTTCGTGATATTTCATGGTATTCCCCGTAGATTTCCCAGAGACAAGACCATTGAACGAGGTGCGTCTATGCACGTATGGTATATGTCCTGTCATTACTTGGCCAGTCGTTCGAACCGTGCAGTGTGGCTCACCTGCGCTGCCGTTCCAGGGTGCAGCCTCTGACACGCTCTGACAATTAGAGACATGTGTTAAAAAACTAAGATGCTGGACTGTGGCGACACCCACTCAATATGGCCATAGGAGATCCTGCACTTGTTGCACCTATTGATTCCTCCAGAATATGGGGCATTTCATCGCTGCATACAATGTTTTCCGACACTATTTAACCATTGCCACACATCATCAGATCATTTTCATGATATATTGTGATCTCAAGATGGAAGGGCCGCCATGGATCGCTGCCTTCAAGGCCTTGTTGCCCTTGTCGATGTTGCCAATCGATATGCGTTGAGGCCTCGCTGCAGTTCCTGCAGTCTTACCCGGAGTGCTGCTATTGGCTATGGCTCCTGCTGAAGTCGCCAATTGCTCGAGCTGCATTCAATGCAACGCTGGATTGCCTTAGACAATGCGGCTGCAGCATGGCAGACACAACCCAAGGCGCGTTGGCCATGAGTGGGGGCGGTTGAGAGTGAGGGAGATGACAGGGCAGCTTCAAGTAATTGCGCAATACATAGACTCCACTGATATTGGCAGCAGATGGGGAAAAATGGTTGAAAAAATGATTGGGCAGGTAGTTGTCAATTTTGTTGATCCTACATCCCCAAAGCTTCCTACGGATAGGGCTGCTTGTTCTACGGATTGGCGGCTCAACCACCGACCACATAATTTTGATAAAATGACCTGTGATTTCATATCCGTGATTCTGTTGGTTATATCCTGACCATATCTCCACGAATTATATCCCCACTATATCCCGACTACATCCCTGTTGGACCTCCATCATTGAACAGCAGCTACTGTATATGTGCTGGTTACAGGCCCATGCCATGGGCTTTGTTAACATGACCCCATTTAATGGGTTGAAATGATTGTGTTTCCATGTGTCAAAGCACTGGATGTCCGGAAAATGTTGTCACCGACAGAAATCTGGATATTTTCTGCATGCTTCTATATGGCATCACTTGAGCCCTTTCCATGGCCAGCTGGTACCACCTCAGAACTGCCAAAGTATAGGCGGTCACGTTTAAGTGTGGCTTTAATATAAAAGGGTAAACAAAGAATAGTCCGGGACTCCCAGGGTACAATATAAAAGAATATAATAAAATGTAGTATAACATAGCATAGCATGATAATCACAAAATATGAAATAAAAAACAATATGTAATGAAGGATGAAGGATGAGGACATTTGGATGCTGGATGCTGGATCAGCACCTGGTCGCAGCAAGCATCAGCAAGCGGAGAGTAGCTATCGATCGAACTGCACGGGGTTCTCCAATCTGGATGAAGAATGATTCAGGAGGAGGGCATCTAGGCCATCTGCGGGCTACAGGCGCTAGCGGACCGCTCGGCAAAACTGCTCGGCAAACCGTTGCAGCCCTATCATATAATTTAAACCCTAAAAACTTCGCAATCCTAACCCTTTCTAACCCCAAACCCTAAACCCTAAAGCTCGTGCAGGTGCCTACATCGACCTCGAGCTCTACACGCAGCGGCCCCTTGGCTTGCTTGTGGTTGCTGCTTGCTGCTACTGCTGCTGGTGTTGCTGCTGCTGTCGCTGTTGTTTGTTGCTGGCCTGGCTGCTTCTGATGGTTGCTGCTGCTGCTGCTGCTGCCGATAGCTGTTGCTTCTGGTGGCTGTTGCTGCTGTTGTCTTCCTGTCGCTGTTGTTCTTGCTGCCTGTGATTGTTCTTGCTGTTGGTGTCGTTGTTGGTGCTGCTGTTGCTCCTTTTTGGTACTCTTTCTCTCTTTCTCTTGCTTTCTTTCGCCTTGTTTCCCTCTCTTCTGCTTGCCCTCTCTCCGTGTCCTGCTCGTTGTCTTTGTGGCTGTTTGTCTTGTCTGTTCTCTCTTCCTTGTTCTCTCCGTCTCTGTCTGTCTCTGTCTCTACTCTCTGACCTTGACCTCTGCTCCCTAGCCCGGCGGCCATTGCAGCCAGCAGTATCACTTCTGGCGCCCAGTGCGCATGGTGACCGCTGACAGAAGTTTGTCTCACAGTTGTGTGTCCATATTGTTTGATCGGTGTTATCCGCCGCATCGTCAGCCTTAGTTTTTTTGAGCAGCCTCAATGGTTCTACTGTGAGGATGTTGCAACAACATGTAGATCATGTAGGAAACAGCCCAGGAGTCACAACCTATATGGTAATCGATCCAAAGGTCCTTGTAAAGAGTGTTAATTGCGAAGACCGCTCATGTTATGTTGGGAACCCTTGCGATAACTTAAGATCAAGGCAAAACAACGACATTAAGCTGCACGCAAACAACACGGCAAAGACAGCGACATGCCATCTAAAGCAGACGGCGCCGAAACGCCGCATGTCGAAATTAACGTATATAACATCAAGGCACTACAGACAGCGGAACAAAGCTGCATGCAAACAACAAGGCAACCACATGGTCATGCAACAAGAAGGAACGTCAAATAAACACCAAGGTCTACAACGACGGGCAGCAAGCTCACAATGCTGCTATGACATCGCACTGCGGCAACCGGTTGACACACAGACAGACAGACAGGCAGGCAGGCAGGCAGACAGACAAACAGGCAAACAGACAGACAGACAAAAAGATAGATAGATAGGTATATAGGTGGATAGAAAGACAGACACACAGACATATAGATACATAGGACATAGGCAAAAGGATAAATCGATAAGTACAAAGGGAGAGGGAGATACAGATAGAGAGAGAGAGAGAGAGCGAGGGAGAAAGAGAGATCAATACAAAAATAGACCGGCACACGGGCACATATCAGTCCTAGGACATCGTCATGACATGCCAGTTGAGGTGGAGGATGATGATGTTGGATGATGATGTCGAGGGAGAGGAAAATGATGGTGTTGATGTTGAGGAGGAAGATGTTGATGTTGAGGAGGATGATGTTGAGGAGGATGATGTTGAGGAGGAAGACCGATGAACCCAGAACGCAGACATACACTTTGTGCGAGCGTGCGCAGTCGAAATGCACTTCAACATGTCACAAGAGCCACACCATACGGAAATTTACAGGTAAAATGCCGCAGACCAGAGTGAGCACCCAGATCAGGCACCGGCCTTTACACCTGCCGTAAGAACCCCTCAGTGTGGACAAACTGTTTGGGGAATCAAAAGACAGACTGCAACTGCCTGCAAGCGTGTCGCTTCTGAACTGTACAAAGTCTGTGTAGCACTTAGCCAGCATGCACCCAGCACGTCGCTGGCCCGGGCACACGGGCACACGGGCACCCGGGCACAACCCCGATCCACGGGCACACGGGCACACGGGCACACGAGCACCCGGGCACAGGCCAACAGGAGACTGCCCTCTGATATTCGCCCACATTGTCAGTGCAGGTTGCAGGTAGGGCGGTTTCTGCCAGAGAGGTTGGAAACCTTTAGAAGACAACACTTCCCATTGTTGCAGCTGGGGTTGTGGGGTTATATTTGATCAATGTCGCGGGGATGACAAATGATAGATGGAAAGTGATAAGCCTGATAAGCATGATGAAACAATATGCCCTCCATTACCTTCCAAATAGTGTATAGCAGGGGTACCCCCTCATAAACCAGCATTAGCCATGGGGGTTATATATACATACATACGTATGTATTTTAATAACAATAATAACAATAATAATAATTGTTCTTATTATTACCATTGTTATTATTATACGCACATTTGGAGAGCATGGTTGCCACAGGCAGGAACCGCAGGTCGGCACCTGATCATCGGATATTATCGCTAATGTCATGATCTCCGCAAGGCTTGGCGCTTGGTTCTGAACGAGCTGGATGAAGTGTCGGCAAAAGTCTGCACCTTAGATTCGCACCACGGAGATGTCCGAGATGTCCATTTGAGACATTTCGAGACATCTCTCGTGTTTTGGTGGTTGGAGGATAACTTCCCATCGATTCATCACGCTGTGCTGGCCAGGTCAAGGCTCCTTCATCCTTGCGAGAGCGAGTGCGATGCATTTCTGGGCGCCTTGGACTTGCCTCAAACGTGGCAGTACTGTCAAAACTGTCAAATGACGAAAGGTAGCGTCAGCTACCTGAGTTCTCCGTGCTTCAGCACAAGCTTAGGGGGTATTGGGGGGCCAGCCCGTGCAATTCATGGAATTCTCGCCGTTATGTATTGGATATCAATTATAAGGGGGGGGGCCCCCCCCCCCCTCGCGAAAATGGTCATGGGTTCAATTCCCACGGGTGACGCGGTCACGGGCCCCCACATTAGAGGCACACTTTCCATGAGGGAGATGTCCCTGTAGTCCAGCATAATTGGTATGCTTCAGCCTCAATAACAGTTGCTGCAAGGGGTCTTAAAAAGGGGTTTTAAATAAACCCCTTTTCGTGCATCATTTCACGCTGCACAAGACACCGTATCATGCAGTCATGCTCTGGATAAAATCATCTTAGACTGCGCAAAAACGTTTTTGGTGTATCATCTTAGGGGCGCAGCATTTTGACACCACTCCTCTCCCACTACACTACCTTTCGTCCGCCTCCGCCTGCTCTCAAGTTTTCATGGAAAAAAAATTAAGAGTTTTGACTTAGACCGCGGCTGCTCAAATCCCAAGGACCAGCTGTGTTGCTGAGTTCTTTGCAAGGCGAGTGTAACTGTCATTTCTGATGGGGAACATTTTAATCATTCGCAACACATTGCTGAGAATGATCTTGGAGCCTTCGTTGGTGTGGCAAGACCGTGCAAGACCTATCAACTCTGGAAGCAGGAGTGACAATGCCAGCCCCTGCAGGTTGCACACCATGCTCTACTCCACTGAGAAACTGCCTTTGCGGGATCAGATCTTTATGCAGAATGAGGAGCTGGGCACGACTGTGTTTTGCCCATGCACATCGCAACTCCGGAAGGCGATCCGAACTTCAGATCAATCTGAAGAGGGTGTCTTTGAATCTGATCAGTTCAAAGAATAGACTTCCTGTCCACTCCTGTCCTATAGATCCTACACAGCTACTGTATGACATCCTTTTCATATTTTTCATCTCATGTCTTCAGTTTCAGGACGCCATCTTGCCGGAGTTCATGGTGCGCAGCAAAAGGATGGACTACAGACCACCACTCAGAAATCGAGTGCCTCCCTGTGCTGGGTCCGTTTTAGAGTTCTGTGCGATCATGGTATCGGCAACAGAATCGGCAAATACCATTCCGAAATATTCCCATTATTTCATATAATTTCATATTATATATTTCATGATTATTTCATATCATTTCCATAGAATCTAGATGAATTTAGTGTGACTTGAATCTACGCCACTGTCTGAGATGACCCCAAAGAGCTGGACTACGACTGGAAAGCAATGGTGCAGGTGCCTTTTTCATAAGCTGCCCAGCCGCCTTGGAACAGCCATGGTTAAATTGCTGAAGGTCAATGACCAGAATGTGAAATGGATTGAAATGTGCTTGTCAGTGGATTCAGTGGACGTGGAAACCCAAGCAACATTCTCTTTCCCAGGAGGTGAAAGCAAGGTTTGCTGAAGGCAAGGGGCGGCAAGGGGCGGCAAGGGGCTTCATGGCACTTTGATTTGAGTAGGTTTGCAGTGTTTTATTGATGTTTCGGAGGAAGTTTTCTAAAGATTGGCTGCATATGGCTATGGCTGATTTTGGACGCCAGGGCATGAGTTGACGCGCGAGGAGGAGATGCAGGGCTTAATGCCAAAGGAGCATCCTTTGCAGGTCCAATGCTTCACTGAGAGATAGCAATGAGAGCAGCAGAAAACACCAGCGGTTGATACCCTTTTGCACCATGTATTGCATAATATTTATATTTACAGTATTGATATGCCATCATTGTGCCACATTCAATCCACATTCTACCATTCTACAATTCACATAGATGGGAGTAGTTTCAGGCTTTGGATCAGACTGGAATCAACTTTGATAGGTGGACCGACTGCAGCTGGCCCACTTCATCTTGGAGGCTCGGACACGACTCGCCCATCGTGATCCAACGAGTGATCCAACGAGTGATCCAGACAGTGATGCTTTGGATTCCACAGCAACCATCAGCAACATTAGCAACCTTATGTTGCTTGTTATATCTTGTTATATCTTGTTCTATCTTGTTATATCTTGATATATCATGAATCATCATGAATATATCCTCAGGTGAGGGACCAGATCCTTCAAGAAGGGCCGTTGTACAGATGTTTGGATGGGAGCTGAGTTTCAGCACAGAGAGGATCAAATCTCCTTCAATGATTCAAGGTGCACTTGAAGCTTCTGTAATTCTGATTTAGCCTGCAGCCGTTTGCAAGGAGTGGGACATGCCCCTCCTGTTGGTTCACGCCTTTTCAGCTGGAGCCTCAAGTCTCTTGTCTGCCTGACTGCCTTTAGTAGAATGTTAGAAAGGGAAAGTCAGATGTAGCCACAAGCTCCATCAGAATGACATGTGTGTGCGTGTGTTTAAGTTGTATTCATTGGAGTTTTGGAAGATTTCACTTGACGGATTGGATTGTGGAGGAGGACATTATGTGTTTCTGACATTCCTGAATGCTTTTGAGGCATACTGCCGCTACCTAGACATCTACTCATATTCGGAGTCTGCACCTCAACCTCAGCCAAAAAAAAAAAATCCTCCAGTGACAGCTACTTTGAGAATGGATTCCGTACAGGGCTGAAGGTCAGAAGTTGACTGAGGCCGCACCCCAGTGATGCCAGACTTGGATTGCATCTTGGCCTGATTGGAACCAATTCCCTGGAAGAACTGTGCATCGGTTGGCTGAGTTGACGGATTCTTTCGTGTGCAGGAATGAAGCAGTCACAAAGTTCAGTGAACTATTGTAAGACTCCAAAGCGTCATCACCTGATACCTTCCGTCGTCACTGCGAAAGTCGGGGATCTTCCGCGCTGGAGTTGTGCCTGTGACTGTGACACAGGCCAGGGCGGCACGAGTACAAGTCTGGCACGATCCACTACTGGGGGGACATGGAGAAGTCCGAGAACTTTAGCAGCTTGGACTGAAGCTTGACCCTGGGCACTGTGAAATGGATGCTTAACGATTATTTATGATCATAAATGATCTTAATTGGTCCCTTGTGTCGGACCCCGCTAACTTTGAGCAATTGGCAGCCTTCAGTGGTTCAAACCCGCCAGATCAAGAAGACCCAAAAGATCCCCAAAGGCATCGTCAAGCAGATGTCAGAACCATTTTTACTTCCACCACTAGGAGAGTTTTTCTTTTCCTTGGTAAATCTTGTTTGTGGCTCATAGATGCTCATGCAGTTTGAAAGCACTGAAGCACCAGAACCCAGTCTCCACTGAACATGGAAATGTACAACATTTAATTACTAGGAATACCTCTTGCGAAGCATTCCACTGATGTCAACAGTGCGTGTGCGACCATCGCAAGCACCCAAGACTCAGCTCACTCCAAAAACTCAATCTGAACAAAACAAGATCTTTGAAGACGAGATCTTTGCTGGAACTGTGAAGTTTGTGAAAGACACATATGGCTTTGTGGAAGTTGATGAAACTGAAGAAGAAGTTCTGCTCATTCCTTCCAAATGTCGGGGCGAGTTGCCTCGGCTTGGAGCACGACTTCTTTTCCAGGTCGAAGCAGCTCAGCCTGGACGGTCCAGGAGGCTCGCCACTCATGTTCGACCTGAGCATCCTGAGCCTGGGAAGCCTGGGAAGCCTCGGCGCCGGGAAAAATCCAGGTCTGGACGGTCTGGATATGGGAGCATCAGGCTTGAGGAGCGATCGACAGCCTCGAAGGACTCTAAAGATACGTGGAGTGAGCGTGACAACTGGGATAGCTTTGAATGGCGCGACATAGAACCAAGTCGGACATTTCGTGGCACGATGGAAAAAGATTGTGGACAATTTGGTTTCATTCGGCAGGATGCTAAGGATGGTGAGGAGCCGCAACATATCTTTGTTCTACCTTACTCTTGCACAGATTCACGACTACCTCCTGTTGGATGTCGGGTTGAGTATTCAAACGTCACAGATCCAAAGACTGGCAAGACAAGGGCAGAGGACGTGATACCTGAGGGTACTGGGGATGACAGACCGTCTGGATGGAATCCAGTGCCTGGAGAGGTCTATTATGGCACCATATGTCGGGAAAAAAATGTTTCTGCTTCGTCCGACATGATGACTCATCAGAGGAACTTTTTCTTTTGCCATCCGACTGCGTTGGTTTCAACTTCAAGTTACCCTCCCTGGGCACTCGAGTGAAGTTCTCGGTGGATCCTCCCAGATTTGGTCCCAGGAGAATGGCTGTTGATGTTGGTCCCGAGGTCGACCCGAGAGAAGATGACTCAGAGGTGTTCAAGGGGGTCATCGTGAAGAACATGGGGAACTATGGTTTCATCAAGGACGGTAAAGAGAAAGTCTTTCTTTTGCCAAGTTCTTGCAGAGGGCGTGAAATTTTCAATGAAGGCACCCGTGTGACGTATCGAAAAACCATCGGAAAGAGGGATGGCAAGTTGCAAGCTTCAGATGTCGATGAAGATTTTGACCCTGAGACTGAAGAACAAAAAGAACCACAGCCTGCAAACGGACTCAGAGGCGTTCTGACTACCGTCAAAGATTCGTATGGCTTTATAAAGGTGGACGGAGGCAAAGATATTTTCCTCCACGTTTCGCAGTGCCCAGGCCATGAGATTCCAGAAGTGGGGACAGAGCTACAGTTTGACAGCATCCACGATGGAGACAAACTCGCTGCCACCAACGTGACCATTTTATCTAGTTACTGGCCCAGGATTCCGGAGCATTCAGAGTCAGAGCCTCCCGCTTCCCAGGAAGATAGAGCGGAAGAGAGGGCAGCACTTCCCCGCAAGGCCAGATACAGGAATTCTTACAAGTCCCCTGAGTTGGCAATCCTATGGAAGAAATTCTGCGATGAACACGCTCAAGGTCAATACGATGTTCAAGAACATTCTGGCTTGTTTCTCAGGCAATTCCTTGAGGCCGTGTTGCCCGAAGATGTTTCTGATGCTCCTCTTGCCAAACGACAGAGGACCTGAGACAGCAAACTCTAGTAGCTTGATGAAAAAGATGCTGGGATATGCTGGGGCGATCTGGGGCTCAACATTTGTCAACACCCAAATCAAATTCAACCAGAGACGACTTCCTGAAAACTGCAAGTAAAGCTACCAAGATTTTCAAGCTATTTTTATATTCCATTGGTTGCACGGGTCCTTGTAGGTTCCAGGTTGGGAAAGGTGCAAGTTTCCAGTTGGAAATCTGCAAAAGTTCTAAGACATTTCGAACGCTTATCTCAGCCACTCCAGAGGCCATTGCAGGCCAGGGTCTGAAGTCTGGCGGAGAACTTTTTGTGCGGGACAGTTTTATGAAGAGGTCCAAGAGGTTCTGGGAGGTTCCGGGAGGTTCCGGGAGGTTCCGGGAGGTTAGGGTTCTGAGCTGCTCAAGGGCAGGCCAAACTTTCTGGGAGAGTTCAAACATGTTCAAACAATGCAGGTTTGAGTCAAACTGTGCTTGGGCTTGGTCTGGCAAGTTTGTTCTATGGTTTCGCAAGGAGTTTTTCCATTCTTGGGAGTTTCCGATGTCCCACACAGGCTTTTGTATGCTTTTGTCATGAGAGCTTGGCTTGAAGACCCTCAGTGGCTCGTATGTCTCGTATCGGCCTCCGACCTAAGGTGTGGATCCAGGTTCCATGGACCTGATTCTTTGTCCCTTCATCTTTGAGCATGTTGCTAGACCCTGGAGGGCTATCAGGACAGATTTCATCAGATTTCAATATTCTGCTATGTAAGCATGCAGACAGATGCAGTGCCCCTTGGACACCTGAACCATGCACGGACAAGTTGGAACTTTAATCGTTGATGGATGTCCTGCATTGCAGGACTTTGGCTGACTCCTTGCGTCCAGGCGGCTTCGTCATTTGGGCAGTCGGAAGCTTGGTATATGAGATGATGAGGGGTACCGAATCTAGGGTGAATCTGAAAGAAAAGGTGGACAAAATGACATGTCTCCTTCAGCAATTTTGAATCATTTGACTTTGCCAAACCCATGCTGCTTCAGGCTCCCATGTTCCAGCGTTACCATGGGCACCGAACTGAGACACTTGCTACCTTGGTGCAAGATGTGGGGCATCAGATTGTTGTGCTTGAAATTAAGGTCTCCTCACGACTACTACCGCTACACTCCGAATGGGGTCAAAGCGTTGGCGGAAGAAGCAGGATTGGAGGCCTAGTGCCACAAGGGAGCAACTGAGAAATGTTTGCTTCAAATGATGATAAGCAGCATTACAGTAGCGTGAATTAGCAACATTTTTTAAAACTTTGTGCACTCTTTGCGACTTTGAAGCAGATTTTGAGTACTTGCCTTCTACATTGCTTTGCATCCAGCAACGTTTCTTCGTGAACTGCTTTCAATGTGATTCAAGCCACGTCGCCAACCTGTCATTCGGCTGCTGTGCCACAGGTTGCAAAAATATACGCTCCTGGGGATCTCTCCTTGGTCAATGGAGAACCTCGGCATCAACGCTTAGGGTAAAACGCATTTGCAGAAGGTTGATACAAAATGATGCAAAGCGGTGCTGTAGAGAATCAAGTATCTATTGAATGGGAGTGAATTGATATGTTTTTCTTTCTAATTATACCTAATTTATACAGTCGACTCGTTCATCATGGTGAGCCACCTGCCACTGAATCATACTGAATCGTTGGCTTCCATACAGAGCTCTGTGCTACATCTCAGCCTAGCTTTCCCGGCACTGTAGGTGGTCCCCACTTTTTTTGAATACCAACCCTACCAACCCTATTTCTTGGCACATCTTGGCACTTGACAAATGGTGTCTCAAAGTGTTACTGAGTGAGGTCTTGATGGGAATGCTGCTGCCATATTGGTCCACGGAGCAAGTTCTTCGCGAGAGTGAATTGGTCGAGAGGGACACTTCGCCAAGGCCACTGCTCGCTGCAACGACTAGGGAAACAACCAGCAAAACTGCCAGAATTCAATATGTATAGTATACGAATACATATTATCATCATTATATTATATATATATATGTATTATATTCAAAAATCATAATTACCATCTCTCTCGGCAGCCTTTTCACCCCGACATTTCCATGAAGCTTGTGCGCATTCCACAAGCAAGAGATGATGGCTACAGGAACGGTATATGAGCATCATGTGCAGCCATACCACATTGCTGAAACATACCATGTTGACACTGACACCATGCAGCCTGCAGTACTGCTGATGTTTTCGCTTCAGGTATCCCTTAAACGTTTTCGCTTTGCTACGAAAGTCTGGAGCTTAGTTCCAGGGACCTTTGCGACGAGCCTGCAGTGCCTGCACATCCAATGGCATATTTCTTGACCAACCACAAATCTGATGTCGCTGCTACAATTTTACATAATAATACATAATAAATAATAAATAATACATAATAATATATATATGATTATATATGTATATTCATGTGAGGTAGCCAACATTTTGCAGTGCATATTATTAGGCATATATGTGCAGTGCACCAATTTTTGTGCCCACAGTGCAGCATTAGCGGCAAGGCCTGGATCCAGACCAGATCCCTGGTGAAGCTGACGTCTGTCAGATGTACCATAGATGTACCATAGATGTACCATAGATGTACCATGACATTGTCAAAGTCATCGTCCATTATTTGAATTATGTGTCCATTATTGATGATCTCTGTGCCATTCTAAACCCTGATCATCACTGATCCTGAATGGTCAGCTTTATTCAGTTTTATCTTTGCCCGCCTCTGAATGCAACAGGGGCATTCGACTGGCGACCAAAAAAAACCTTGCCGGTGACGATAAAAGTGCGGGTGCAAGTGTAGGAAGATTGGGAATTGTCTGAAAAATAGTGTATACCCTAAAATTACATGTCAAGTAATTGTCATTTTGAGGGCCTGATATTCTCAGACACATTGACAGAGAAAGGACAGGTGCAGCAAGTCATGATCAAGCTTGGAACGCAGGTCCTTGAAGAGAAGGACTTCTTGTTCAGGACAAGTCCTAATTTCGTTTTGGCTACTTGCCTGATGTAGGAAATGTAGGATGAATACTACGCGTGACGGATGTTTTCAAGTAAAGTAAGAGCAGCACAACTTTCACGTGAGATTCATGACTTCAGTTCAACTGAAGCTTCGGCAGGAATCTCTTTCGGACCAGTCAGGCGTATCGACCACAACTTGAAGAGGTGCTATTTGCAGCGGCAGATGCTGGTAAATCTGTTCTCTTGTTGAAAGTGGGGGCCTGCAGTTCTTGAAATTCTTGAACACCTCAAAGGTGGCTGCAAAGTGGCCAGACTTCTTGGACGGCATCTTGCCGCGGATGTCTACTGTCTTTCAGATGAGTGTCTTGAGGCGGGGAAAAGATGGGAAAAAAATGGTAAAACAGGGATGCTAGGACTAGACAGGTTAAAGGTCAGGTGGGATGTTGCTTTGTTTTTTCTTCACGTTATAGTTTGAAATGTTTGACTGTTTCTTTTTGATTATCTTGCTAAATGTGTTGTCGAGGTTGTTGTGATAATGTTTGGATTGAATGAAGGGGATAATTGTTGAGGTGGTCAGAGTTTCTATGTGTAGGTTCAGGTTCAAATTCTACCAAACTGTTGTTCAAAGATGTCGAATGAAGAGTTTCAAATTCATGTATTGATTGAGGTTAGGCGCTGTGGTTCCTGTTTGGTTTTGCATATCAAGCATCCTTCAATACCAAAACCAGTTTGGCACAAATTGACTGAACCGATGTATTGTCCCTTTCCTTCGACATTCCGCAGATGCATCTTTGTGAGGCAGGTTGGGCTTGTGCCAGGCCGGTTCGTCCTTCCAAGCGGTCATGCACGAACACAGCCCGCGCTTTTCCGGCGCAGACCGTTAAAACTGGTTGGACGTTGTTGAGCACAGGGAGCGTCGTAGTGCTGGTTCTCCAAGCTCTCATTCAAAGGTTCCTTCCTGGCTTCTTCATGAACAGGGCAGTGAGGAAGGCTGGGCAAAGGCTGGAAAGGACAGAGCCCGCCCCTGCACGGCCGGTCGAGGAGGAATACATCAAGGACTTCATCAATTCACCTCAACGTAAAGCTTTGAGCACCCCTTCCTTCTTGGTGGTCAGTGGTTCCCAAGGCATTGGGAAATCAACCATGCTGAACAATCTCATGTGTGAGAATGTGAAGAATGGCAAAAGGGTGCTCCCACTCAAGATGTCAATCCGTCCTGGTGAGGACTTGAAACTCAATGAAGCGCTGCCCAAAGCATTGCAAGCAGTATATTTGCCGCGATACTACCCAGAACAAGTGGAGTATATGCTGGAAAAGGTGAACGAGACGTGCAAGCACCGAACAGGCAGTGCCGCCGTGGTATACCTGCAACTCACAACCAAAAGCCGCGGAGACAAATTTAGTAGGGATGCCTGTGATGACATTGCTTCCACCCTCGGTGCCTTCGCTCGCAACATCACCTACGACAATGCCGCGTGCAAGTTCATTTTGGAGGTCAGCGTGTCTGCTGTGGCCGACATCATCACCGAAAGGTTTGACATGTCAAGGCTGGTTGTGGTGCGACCGCTGCCTTTCGAAGACTTCACATCTGTGGTCAAGGAGGTGGCAAAGCAGGGAAACGACTTCCGGACGCTGAACAAGGTTCTTGCCGAAGATGACATGGACGAGGTGTTGAAGCACTACTACATCCGCACAGGGGGCAACTTCCGCGCCTTGGGCGAGATACTGCGAAACGTCTCCAGAGCAGGTCAGAAAGGTGCGGATGCGGTCATCGAGCGGGTTGAGCAGTGGTACAAGGAGAGGGTGGAACCAATTCAAAGGAAATTGGATGACCAGGAAGTGAAGGACTATCTCCTCAAGGTGGCAGAGGCAGGACCCATGGGGTATCTCCCAGAGAGCGACGAAGACACCAAAATGAAGTTGAAGCTTCTTCGTGAGGAGCCAGCAGACTGCGTCCTGAGGAGAACAACCAATTTAAGTGTGGCTTTGAAGCATTGGCATTTCGTCGCCAAGCTCTTTCAAGAGGATGAGCAGAAGTTGAGGGATGCAGGATACATGTGAGCTTCGCCGGTGAAACTCAACTGTGGCGCTTGAGATGTTTTGTGTAACCTTCAACAGCGTTTCCGTCCAAACCCAAACAACAAGTAGAAGCACCGACATCTTCACGACAATAGTTAGAAATGTCAGTAAAGCAGACAACATCTTCATATCTTTCTATTCAAATTTTCGTTATAAGGGTGGTTTCCAAGAAGTGCTGAAACCTCATAATCTTCTTTATCATCCTCTTTCGTGGGAAAGCGGAACATCAATTGCTCAAAGATACTATGAAAACATTGATTTGTCCTTTCAGTTGAGTATTGGTAATACCGTCATACCCGGAATGCCAACGATGGGGGTTGCTGACAACTACAAGCATCTACAAGAAACACGAAACAATCACGTTTCAATCAAACCTCATATGTATAGGACGAATTCCTTTTTAGCGGGGTTCAACCTCAAGAAACTCAACAGTGCCAATTACACTGGACTGAATTTGAAGAACAATTCAAATATGGTTGTCCGTGTTAAGCCGTTGTATGGAACAGACCTATATACAACAGACAACGGAACTGATACTGGACTGATGCCTGACAAAATGTATATCGTTATTGAACACGAATGTATCTTGGAGATAAAAGCCCAATCTGTCATTTTCTATGACTAAAAAATGATAGTGGATAATTAATAAAATTATAATGAATAATTTTATTAATTATTTTGATTTTAATTTTGGATAGATGATTGACTTGTAAAGTTTCTTCGCTTCCTTTAGATACTGTTTCTTATCCTCTCCCTTGCTTGATTTCCATTTACCATATACCTCTTGAAACCTTTGATAGTCTCCTGTGTCTATGCTTTTGCTGTTGTTCATCTCTTCAAACTTCTCTCTTATCACTTGTATTCCTACCTTGCTTGGTGATATTGCCTTGTTCATTGTTGGTTTCCTGACTGGTGCTTTCGATGAAGATGACGCCCCTGTTTCTTCCTGTGCTGTCTCTGCTTCATCTACATTGGGTGTCTTGTTGTCTTTGGGGATGTTGATTGTTGCTCCTAATGCTTGTGGTTGGGGTTGCTTTCCTCTTACTCTTGCTTTGGGCGGTTTGGTGGTTGTGGATGGGTCTTCCTGAAAGGTACGCGCCTCGCATTTGACCCTACCCCAATGGTTTCGCATATGAGAAAGTGATAAAAGAAATGTGAGAAAGTAGCGTTTTTAGCTGCGAAAAGAGGGTCCCGGAGATGATGGTGATGATGATGATGATGATGATGATGGTGACGATTATGATGATGATGACGATGATGATGGTGATGATTGTGACGATTTTGATGATGACGGATGATCGTGATGATGGTGATGGTGATGGTGATGATGATGATGGTGACGATTTTGATGATGACGGATGATCGTGATGATGGTGATGGTGATGATGGTGATGATGATGATGATGATGATGATGTCACACACAACTTTGTCACATACAACTTTGTCACACACAGCTCTTTCACACAATCTGTCTTCCACCATCTCCTTTACCTTTGCTGCCTTTCCCCTCCCATCTTCTTGGGGGGCTGGTTGATTTGATACCAATTGAATGTATTTGATTGAATGTCAAGGGGGGCTGGTTGATTTGATACCAATGAATGTAATTGTTCAAGGGGGGCTGGTTGATTTGATACCAATGAATGTCATTGTTCAAGGGAGGCTGGTTGATTTGATACCAATGAATGTAATTGTTCAAGGGGAGGCTGGTTGATTTCATACCAATGAATGTTCATTGTTCAATGGGAGGCTGGTTGATTTGATACCAATGAATATAATTGTGCAAGGGGGGCTGGTTGATTTGATACCAATGAATGTCATTGTTCAAGGGAGGCTGGTGATTTGATAGCAATGAATGTAATTGTTCAGGGGGGGCTGGTTGATTTGATACCAATGAATGTCATTGTTCAAGGGAGGCTGGTTGATTTGATAGCAATGAATGGAATTGTTCAAGGGGGGCTGGTTGATTTCATACCAATGAATGTAATTGTTCAAGGGGGGCTGGTTGATTTGATACCAATGAATATAATTGTGCAAGGGGGGCTGGTTGATTTGATACCAATGAATGTAATTGTTCAAGGGAGGCTGGTTGATTTGATAGCAATGAATGTAATTGTTCAACGGGGGTTGGCTCACGGATGTCTGGTTTGAGGCAGGGTAAAGTGGGGTAGGGTCAAATGTGAACCGGGAAATGTTGTTTTTTTTCCTGGAAGGGTTGCGTATTTTTGTTAGGGTAGGGTCGAATGTGAGGGTGCGTGCGGTTCTTTTGGAGTAGGGTCGAATGTGAGGCTGCGGTAGGGTACAATGTGAGGTCCGTACCTTCCTGAAATTCTCTCTTCTCCTGCGTTGGCGGTTTTGGTTTCTGCCTCTTTGCTTTGGACTGTCTCACGCTTAAGGGTTTCCTCTTTTCTGCTGTTGGTATTGCCGAAGTGTCCATTGCTTCTGCGGTGTCGGGCACTACATCTACGTTCATTTTTGATTTTTCCTCCTTCAATTTCTTTTGGTGATTTACCTTTTTGACTTGTTTGTTGATTAGTTTTTGTGTTCGTTTTATCTTGGACGGTTTCTCTTCCTCGTCTTCGTCGGGTATGATGGCGTCTGTCAGTTTTGATGCTATTAGTCCTCCTATTGACCCTCCCTTTGCTGTTCCTCCTGCTGTGGCGACTGCTTTGATGACTGGTTTGGATGATTTAAGGAATTTCTTTAAGATGCTTCTACTGCTTGAAGGCGGTTCTTCGTCCTCTTGTATCCCTGCCGATGCTGTTGCTCCGACGGCGTCGTATGCCCCTTTGTTTGCCCATATAGTGGTCTTGTGAATGACTTAAGTTTGCCTGTTCTGCTACTCTCCTTTCGTTCTCTTCCCTCAACTCTGCCTCTCTGTCAAAGGACATCTCAAAGTCGCTGATGGCGTCGTCCCTCAAGTCGGTCATATCTTCAAAGTCAAGGTTGGGTGTTTCTTCTTCCTTCCTTGCGGTCGCTTCCTCTGCCATCTTTTTGAAGTTCATTTGCTGTAAGTCTGCTGGGTGGATGTTGTTTGTGTTCAGTGCTTGACCCTGCGGACTTTCGTGAAAATACCAAGCGTTCCTATCAAAGATTTTTCTGATGTCATTGGTTTTGAACTTTTCCCTGTCTATTTCCTTGATGAGTTCTGCGTAAGTGGGTATTCGTGTCAATCCCTCTTTTGTGTTGATTACTTCTGCTGTCATTGCTATATATTAATACTTTAGATTTTTATATTAATCTTGTGTATCGCCTCTCAACCGCTGTTTATACTCATCAATTCTCTGTTTCATATTCTGGACGTTCGCCCCGTAATCTTCCAATCTGTGATTTTTCCTCACCTCCCTCAACCTTGTCATTTCGTTCTGTAGCATCTCATTCTCTTCCTTCATCCTCTGCTTGACCTGTAAGACCTTGTAATCGTGCTCGGTGTTGTGATATTCAAGAAGACTCTTCAGGTAAAGATGATGGTTGTGAGTTGGCATCCTTGCCGTGTTGCTGTCGTTGTGGTAGTAGTGGTCATAACTACTATACATTTTTCTTCTGTCTGGCATTTCGGGCGTTCCGCTCCTGTAGTTGGCACTTTTGTTGTTTGAATGGACGGTTTGTCTTCTGTTGATGTCCCTGCGGACGTTTTCGTAGATGTCTGTTTTGTTGAGTTCTATTTTCTGTTCCTTGATGTTCATTTGTATATATAATACTTTATAAAATGTTTGATGCTAAAGATTTCAATTTCTCTCTCGTCGCTTTGTTCTTTTCCTCTTTGGCTTTGTTGTAGGTGTCTCTGGCGGACATTGCAGTTTGTAGTTCTTCCTTTATTTGTTTTACAAGGTCGCTTTTGAATGCTTCTGGGTCAAAAGTTGGTTTCGCCCTTGACGGTCTTACCCTGTTGGGCTTTGGGACTACCGTTGCTGGTTGCGGTTTCTCTTCAACGGATGGTTCAATTATTTCTTCTGGTTTCTCCTCTTCTTTCGGTGCTTCTTCCTGTATTGGTTCTGGTATTGGTTCATCCTTGTGTTCTTCATTATCAATCTCTTTTACGACTACCTCTGTCATATATTAATATTATAGATATTCTTTATACTTTCAAAATCTCGTGTCTCAAATACGGTTTGTTCAATCCTTCCAGTTTGAAGGTTCTGTTTCCAACATCATCGTATTCTATCTTGACGATTTTGTAGGATTGATTGCTCCATTTTGAGTTATACTCCTTCCTCTCGGTGTAGTTGTCTTTTTTCTTCTCAAAGACCTTGACCATATCATTCACTTTCACCTCTGGATATTTGCGAGTGTTCTTTTCCCTCCTTGTCAAATTCACCCTGACGTCCATATGGTTCTTGTCGTCGTGGGCATCCTTGGGTTTCATTTTGGTTGATGAATGGACGGTGAAGTTGTATTTATCTAACGCTTTGGACAACATCACAGTCCAACTACCGCGATTAAACCTAACTCTATCGTGTATCATATTTTTCATTGTCCTTATGAAACGCTCCACAACATTAGCGTGTGTTAGGGTGACGACGTGAGTGATGCCTTCTTTCTCAAAAAAGTCTTTTACCCCTGCTTGGAAGGCACGGTCATTATCGCTATAAACGGACATCGGAAAACCCATTTTGTTGAAACTCTCTTTCATCGCCGACAATGTGATTGGTCCAGATTTTTCTTTCATAGGGACGACGTTTGCCAACTTGCTGAAGATGTCAATGACCACCAACCCGTATCTCGGCTCACCGTTCTTGATGGGAATTTTCGTCTGTGGTTCTTTGGTAAGGGGTTTCATATCCATTATGTCAATCTGATATTCAAACCTTGCGAAGGGTGCGGTGTAGGAGTTTGAACCCCTGTATTTTCTAATCTGTTTGTTGGGCTGTTTCCTCATAAAGTTTTCCACATCCACCCTGTTGATGGTCTGGTCTTGTTCCTTTGCTTTCTTGAGGTTCTCATTGATTGAACCGAAACCCGTTTCCAGATTGTAATAGACATT